AAACTGACTATGTGAGGATGGTAAGAGGTCCCAAAGTCCAAAGATGTGGGTGGTGCTCACAGCCCAACGGCGTGCAGGACAATTGGCATTTGCCAGAGACCACAAGGATTGGCAAATTTGTTACTGGCACCTTGTGCTCCTCACAGATGAAAGCAGGTTCACACCAAGCACATTGACAGACCTGACGGAGTCTGGAGACATCACGAAGAGCCAGCTGCTGCCTGCAATATCCTTCAGCATGACTGGTTTTGCAGTGGTTCAGTAATGGTGTAGGGTGGTGCGAGATGAGATCCTTAGACCCACTTGTGAAACCATCTGCTGGAGCGGTTGGCCTTGGGTTCCTCCTAATGCAGGACAATGCTAGACCTCATGTGGATGGAGTGTGTCCTGCAAGATTAAGGCATTGAAGCTATGGACAGGCCCTTCCCCAGACCTGAATCCCACTGAGCACATCTGGAACATCATGTTTCCATCCATCCACCATCTTCACAATACACCACAGACTGTCCAGGGGATGGTGGATGCTTTAGTCCAGGTCTGGGAGGACCAGCACCCTTATCAGAAGCATGTCCAGGCATGGTTGAGAGGTCATACAAGCACATGGAGGCCACACACAATACTGAGCCTCATTCTGACATGTTTTAACCCTGTAATGCCAAATGTATCATATTTGATACATACGGTTTACATACGGACACCTTTTGCATAATTTAATGGTAAAAACTTTGCTCAAAATCCTATTGTACACAATCAGATATACCTGATAACAGAGGGCAGAAGACTACACAAAAAATAATCTTGACATATCGCATAGTAATAAATTATTAATATCAAAACTTTTCTTCTGTTTTTTCTTTTTACATATTTTGTTAAAAAGCCAAGTGAGGACTTCAAACCAAAAAAAAGGTGATTTTCTGTTTTGTTTTATTCTCGGATGGGGCTTTGAAGGGTTAAGGACATTACATCAAAGTTGGATCAGCCCGTAGTGAGGTTCACAACTTTATCTTGTGCATGACTCCAAATTTTCATCGGTTGATACATTTACTTACCATTGATGATTTATGTGTGATTTCTGTTGTCAGCACAAACAACTTTGTACCACACAAAGTATTAATTGGGAATATTTCATTCATTAAGATCTAGGACGTGTTATTTGGGTGCGAAAATCGTATAAAATAAACTAGGCCAATTTTACTCAAATCAGGTATAAATACATTTATTTTGAAAAACATTTTACTTTTCGTTCACTTTTGTAGTGTTCACTAAAAGCTAGACCCATCCACTTTGGTCTCAATGTGGGAAAGAGCTGAGCCAGACATCACTAATGGTGGCTGAGTGTACAGCTGTGTCCATGATCACTCACCACAGGGAGGCTAAGATTTTTATTTAATATTTATGCTTATTTCAACCAGAGGTAATAATGATGCTGAACCAGATAGTCTATTAGAGGACAAAGACGTAGTGATAAGATGGAGGCCTTCCAGATTAAAATACTAAGAACACCTCACTGAAGTTGGAGCATCAAAACAACAGAGGAAATAAGCAAAATCAGCTTAAACCTTTTATGATTTATTATAAACTCAGGATATTTATACTACGTGTTTTTAAACATCAATGACCTCTCACCCCCCCCACCATGGACTGTTCTCACTGCTGCCCTCTGGGAAGAGGCTTCGAAGCATCCGATGCAGGACTCTGCATCACACTGATAACAAATCAAAACACTGCATATTTGCACCATATATATTAATGCTCTAAACCTCCATATCAATGCGTTTATTTGCACCATGTTTTTCTCCCACTGTTTATATCTGATCGCTGCTGCACTTTAAGAAATGGAAATGTCAGGAAATCTGTACTAAAAGAAATTACGTTTTGTGTACACTCTATGTATACAAAATGACAAAAGTTGTCTAAGTCTATACATCCTTAGGAATGTAAAACAAGGTTTGAAAAAAAAGGTTTCTATCTTTATTCTATAGAGAAATATTTATCTGTCAAATCAAGCGTACTTTATGGATTTTATAGTGTAAAAAAAATCAATACACCAACAAAGTAGTTGGTAGACATAGGGCCGGATCTATCAAAGGTTTGCGTGTATAAAAACGTGAGCTATTTCACTGCGCACGCTAAAAAATGTACAAACTGATCTATCAACAGCG